AGATAATAAACAGACATGTGACCATCTTGTTGATGCATCAATCAAAACCATAAAATATCTAAATAGTCCGCATGGTGGGTGTATCGGTCCACAAAATATCTCCCTGCACTACAAAAAATAGGAGATTAGTGATAGAAATTAGTGACAGAATTTCCGTCACTAAACTAGTTAGTGGCGAAAATTCCGTCGCTAATCCGTCAAAAAAAATTTGTGACGGAATTTGTGACGAAATACGTTCCATCACTAAAAAGGCCATCACTGATTGATTTGTGTCGGAAATAAAGAATCCGTCGCTAATTCGACGACAGACTTGTGACGGAAATCCGTCACAAATTTTGTGACAGATTTGTGAGGGAGTTGTCTGTCACCAAATTGTGACAGAATTTTCATCACAAAATTCTGACAGACTTGTGACAGCCTTTCCGTCACAAATTTGTGATAGAATTGTGATAGAATTTCTGTTAAAAAACTGCACATATTTGTGACGGAAATTCCTTCACAAATTTATGACGGAATTGTGAGTTTTTTGACGGAATATTAGGTCACATGTTAATGACGAATTTGTGACAGAACTGTCCGTCACAAATTAGTGACAGAATTCCCTGGAAAATCCGTCACTAATGTTCCACGTTTTTTTTTTGCTGATTATATATATTTAGAGACGGAAGTTCCGTCACAAATCTGTGGAAAATTTTTTATTTTTAAGTTTTTTTAATTTTTTATTTCAAGCTGCATTTCCTGTAAGAAACAAATTGAAATTATAATTATAATGTAGCTAATATTCAAACCAAATTAAAATAGCAATTGTCGTAACAAGCAACAAATCTAAAAATGTCAAGTCCCAAACTAAAGAGCAATCTTTATAACAAGTATAATATTAAACAAACTACTAATTATCATTATGTGGACTTGCTTCACTTTGAGTGCTGGAGTTGATAGGCGACCCAGTTGAGAATTTTCGCTCAAGTGCTTCCAACCTAGACAAGATGGTAACATTTAATTGTCTCAGATCTTCATTTTCTTGTTTAAGCTCTGAGACAATATTCTGAAGATCAGGTTGGCCTTCTATGTTGATGGAAGAAGGAGACATATGAGAAGAATGTTGTGTGCAGTCATTATGCTGGGCATCAGATCCTAAGCCATAGATTCAACCTTCTTATTCTTACCACCTGCAACCTGTAACCAAATCCTCATTTCTTCACCATCTAGCTGATTTGATTCCTCCACACTTGGAGAACCAACACTAGAACTCCTTGATGCCTTGACCCTCATGTAATGTTCCTATGAAAAAAGAAAGTAAAAAATTCAAAATATAAAAGCATTAACAAGCACACAAATAGGCAATTCTCAACGAATCTGAAAAACAACAATCCAGAGTGAACAAGCCTTAAAATAGCTACTGGCAGAGACCAAAATCTAATGATGCAACCTCAAAGCCTTAAAACACCATAAAATAACTTCCAAATATAATACTTATCAATACGAGAAGCATGCACAATTAGAAGATCTACATATTTCTATTACTATTACCATTATTATTATACCACCAGTAAGGCATTTTCAAAGGCTAGGAACTAAAGATGGCTAAATTCCCGTCCTTCCATTGATCGAGTAGGAAGAAATTATTATTCCTATTTTAATTCAATTGGGGGGAAAAACTTACTTGAGAAACAAGAGGGTATACAGCTAGACACTCTCCCAAAAAAAGGACAAAAAGAGAGCTATCAATGCTAAAAAGTATGAGGCTGACCAAACCCTCCACCGCATGTGAATGAGTTTACAATTAAAATAAAAAATTTATTTAAAAAAAAAAACCAAACCAAACCAAACAAAAAAGAAGAAGAAGAAGACTATTTGTTCTTAACATAAGAGAGGCAGTAAAAAGCAACATGTCCCTTATCACATGAGATGAAAATGAAATGGCCCTAAGATATGCATTCTTTTTTCTTTCCCCTTTTTTTAGATGAAAAGTTCTACAAGAATTCAACAGCAATTTTTGTCCACATCTATATGGGATAAACGTGATAACAATCACTTCTTAAGAATTCCATTTCTGAAATAAATACAAAAGCTATTTATATTATTAAAATATACAGGATGTCATTGTTCTAAGCATACAACACCTGAAAAGCAGGGTAAAGATGGTTTTTATGCAGTTGAGGTCTCTTAAAAAAGGTCCAGAAGTATTATTCTCAACTAGCAGATGACATGAAAGAGGCATAAAAAGAGAAATTCAGAGGTGTGCTTAGATTGAGAAGGAAAGTGAAATTTTAATGCTAATATTTTACTTGATTTTATTTAGATTATAAAGCTAACATTTTTCTTCCATTCTCCCCATTCAAATCTAACTCCAAGAACATTCAAATTTTAATGTTAATATTTTATTTGATTTTATGAAATAATGTCAATTAATGGATCGGAACAAAGTCTCATTTTCATCGATGACAATGGAAATCACCATTGAAAGTATGCCTTTCAAAACTTTTGGTATGGACTATGGCATTAATTAATCAGAAGCAAAAGTGTGAAGATTTTGATCGATATAGAATGTAATCATATTTTAATTAGATTATTTAACCCTACTAAATATATAGTTGATGCAGACTAGTAACCACAAGTAAAGAAGTAAAGACCCACACTACAACTAGTCAAGCCTCAGGCCATCAGCACAGCTCTACAGAAAAAGATTCTGGAAAAATATGTACTTACAGAAATTTCAGCTGACCTAATATCCACAAATTGGTTAGTTTTGACATCAAAGTGTGTATTTGTGAACAATTCATATTGAGTAGGATTTCTTCCCAACTGTAAAGCCTGTAGTTATTTATAAAAAAAAAGAATTATATCATGCATTAACTAGTTATTTATAAAAAAATGATCATGTCATGCATTAAATAATTAAAGATAATAGCTGAAAATAAATATAATTCTCACCAACCTCCTTCTATGCTCAGTATTAGGGATGCTGCCCCCTTTGTGTTGAGTGCCTCCTGTGGAAGAGGCCCGATTGACTTTAGCTGTGTTACACTTGGACTTATAATTTTCTAATGTCCATATTTCCTCTAAATCATCCATCACATTAGGTGGAATCCAATTAGGCCTCATTTGTTTCAGAAACATATCCTTCTGAACATTATGCATTGTATGTCTTAAGATTTCTATGCACTTTAAGTTCCAATTTCTCCTAATAGCAACTTCATGTTGTGGCAACCATTTAAATTGTTTCTGCAGAAATAAGAAGAAAAACAAAATCATGTTCTATAATAGAATGAGAGAAAAACTAAAGACATAATAAAAATATAATGAACCTATATACTGCCCATTCCCTAAACCACAAGTCCTTAATTTGAGGGGGTGTCGCCTTCCAAGTACAGCATGGGTGTTCAAATTTTCCTTGAATGATAGGAAGAATATTTCACACAGGAATAATGGCACTAGAATGGCTTTAAGCAGCTCAATAAAAATATCAGATAAAGTAATGTGAAGTTGATTACTTACGTTTTATTCTCAGGATATACCCACATCCGGTTATCTGAGGGATCAATACCCCATGGGTTGGAACTAGCAGGAGAACCCTGAGTTGGGTTTTGTGAGGCTTCTGTTCCAAGAGATGGGATTGAAGGAGATGATGCAGGTGATATCGAGAGTCTCCTAATTGGTTCAGACATGACTGGAGATGATGTACGCATAGATGGTTGAGGAAGAGAAGAATTTTCAGGTTGGTGAGGCAATTGTGCAGATGCTGTAGTTCCATATGGGACTCTACGCTGCACTTTACCACTTGACATCTACATATCCAAATTTGAAGATTAAGTTGAGTTAGTAATAAATAATAAATAAATCATCACAGAATTGAACAAAATTAAAACTAGATACTAGAGGCAATGAAGGTCTAGTGGATTGTTCTGCCACATTAGGAGCGAAGGTCATAGCTACATGAGGAATTGATTTTTCAAGTTGCTGAGGCAATTGCGGAGGTGTGGTAGTACTCGATTGGATTTTACGCTTTGCACTTAGATTTGACATCTGCAAATTCCAATTTCAATATTGGGTAAGTAATAGGCAATAAATACTCATACAAAATGAATCAAGATCAAAACTGAAGAATCAATGCAATCAAAGTCAAATTGAACACTAAATAGTAGTAGATTATAATATGTTAACCATAATTCATCCGTCTTCATCATTGTTGTTGATGTCATCATCGTCGTTGTTGTCATCATCATCATCAACTTCCATATAGAAATCTTCTTCACCATCATTTGTGTCTTCCTCAACTTCATCTTCATATTCATCTTCTTCATCTTCCTCAACTTCATCTTCGTATTCATCTTCTTCATAAACCATGTTCTCAGTTGGCATATCCACCTCTTCGTAGAAAATTTCAGAATTTATTTAGTTATTCAATTCAGCATCATCAATAATTGTTGGTAGTATGACTTCTAATCCATCTGCTTGAACTGCCTCTAAGTTTATTGCACATGTAGGAGCACCAATGATGTTACGAGCCTTCACCTTAATAGTAGCTAACCAATTTGCCTTCTGACGACAACAAGGATAAGAGGTGCATTATACTTGCATTACTTGTTGAGCAATAATGAATGGATCATACTTATTGTACCTTCGTAATCCATGAACTTCAACAATCCCATATTGTTCATAAACCCTTATACCATGATTTGGTATCGGATTAAACCACTCACAATTGAATAATACTAATTTCTTTACAAGAAGCCCCATATATTCAATCTCTATAATCTCCTGTACAATACCATAAAAGTCATGTTCTGGTTGTGCATAGTCAGCACCTTTAATGCATACACCAATATTTATCGTTGATTTTCAAAGGGCCCATGAATGTGTATGAAACTTATACCCATTAATAAAGTACATAGGCCAAGTTATAACTTTCTCTTTGGGTCCCAAGCAATGTCATGTAAAAATGGATCTACAATGTGGTTGTTATGATTTTGAACCTACGTAATAAGGATCAATGAGTATTATGGCAGATAATTCCTGTTTGATGATACAAAATTGAAAGCAATCATACTTACATGATTTTTAAACCATGAGGGAAATCTTTCATTGATCTGGGATTCTATCTCATTCTCTGTGATTCGACAGTTATCTTTCTTCAATGTTTGTACAAATAACCTACATGACAAATAATGTGTTTGTAATGCATATATTTGACATAAGGTTTGATCACAACCAAAGATCCCTTACATCATATAAGGTTGCACCTTATCACAATTCATTAGAACATATCTTTTGGCAGCTTCTACTTCCTCATCATTCAAGAAACGAGCTTTACATTCCCTAAAAGGTCTTCCTGGATAGTTAAATATGGAAATTGCTGGCAAATTTGATTCTCCACCATCATCATTTCGTAGAGGTCTTGTTATTCTTGGTGGCATACTCGGCTCAAAGTAGTGCGAGCAAAACATAGCGGTCTCCTCGACTATATAAGCTTCACATATAGACGCTTCAACTCGGGCTTTGTTCTTGACCTTTCGTTTCAAGGTATAAAGGAATCTACAAAAATGGATATGTTGTAAAAGCTAACATTGACTATTGTATTTATTACATACAAAGAAACCAACAAAAAGAAATTTCATTACCTTTCAAATGGATACATCCATCGAAACTGAATCAGTCCACCAACCTTAGCTTCATAAGCATGGTAGACGGGCAAATGCTCTATTGAGTCAAAAAAACCAAGGAAAAAACCTTCTCTAATTTACATAAATGTCACAACAATATTTTGCTCTAATATCTCAAGTTGATCTACCATCAAGGTGGTAGAACAAAGTTGTTTAAAGAATTGACTAAGCTCCACTATAGGATTAAATACATCATCTGGCAATGTAGAAAAGGCAATAGGAACCAAGCGTTCCATGAACATATGAGAATCATGACTCTTCATTCCATATAACTTTGCTTCCTTCATATCAACACACCAAGCTAGATTAGATGCATACCCATCGCGGAGCTTCAACTTCTTTATCCATTGAACAATCGCTCGCCTTTGTTCTAAATTCAAAGTATATTTTGCAATTGGTTTCATCATTTTTCCTCCTCTATCAATAAGTTCATTTTCCTTTCGTCGACAATATTCTTGCAAGTCCATTCGAGCTTGTGTATTATCTTTTGTTTTTCCTTTTGTGTCCATGACAGTGTGAAACAAATTCTCAAAAAAATTCTTTTCAAGGTGCATAACATCAAGATTATGTCAAATGAGATTGCTTTTCCAATATGGTAATTCCCAAAATATGCTTTGTTTGGTCCAATGATGAGTGTCATTATAGCCTTCAGTTGGTATAGTTGTTCCATATTCGGTGACCTTTGGCAAATTTTGTACTCTATGCCAAACTTCCTCTCCACTTAACCGAGAAGGAGGCATTGATTTCTCAACTTTGTTCTTGCAAAATAAGTTTTTGTTTCTCCTGAATCAATGATCAATAGGAAGGAATTGACGATGACAATCAAAGAAAGATGTTTTCCTCCCATACTTCAATTGGAATGCTTTTGAGTTCTCTATACATATAGGACACGATAATCTTCCCATTGTCATCCAACCAGAAAACATGCCATATGCAGGAAAGTCATTAATTGTCCATAATAATACAGCACGCATGTGAGAGTTTTGTCTCAATGAGGCATCATATGTTAGCACACCCTCATCCTATAACAATTTTAATTCATCTATCAATGGTTGTAAATACATATCTATTTTTCCTTTGGAATTATTAGGACCAGGGATAATTAAAGTAAAAAACATATATTCTCGTGTCATACACAACTTGGGTGACATATTATATGGAGTAATAATTATAGGCCAATAAGAATATTGTCTTCCTGATTGCCCAAATAGCGGAAATCAATCAACACATAACCCAAGCCTCACATTTTGTGGATCATGAGCAAAGTCAAGATATGTACTATTAAAAACTTTCCATGCTTGGCCGTCAGAGGGGTGAGAAAGGACATTGGCGCCTTTATGATTTGTATAGTGCCATGTCATTTCCTTTGCTGTTTTCTCAAAGGCATACAATCGCTACAATCTTGGAATTAAAGGTAAGAACCACAAATATTTCCTTGCAACTTTCTTTTTCCTTCCATGACACCTTCTTGAGAAATATCTTTCCTCACCACAAAACTTACATTGCGTTGTACTATCATTAGCTTTATAGTACAACATACACCCATTCACACAACAATCAATCTTTCTATAATCAAGACCTAGCTTTGACACCAACTTTTTTGTTTGGTACAAGTCTGTAGGCATACAAGTATCTTTAGGCTGTGTCCTCCTCATGAGTTGGGAAATTAAATTGTATCCTTGTTGTGACATGTTAGTTGTTTCCTTTATGCTTAATAATTGCAAAGTTGTTGAAAGTTTAGACTATTTGCAGCCTTCCCACAATGGTTGTTGTGCAGCATGTAACATGTCATAAAATGCTCTTACATTCAGATTTGGCATCTCTTTAATACCTTCATTATAATTATCCCTAAAACTTGGCCCAGCTACATCCATCACTATAGTCTCATATTGATTTAGTTGGTTATTGATTGGCTCATGTGAGGCATATATAGTACTTGGTATTGGAGACAAAGGAGAATGATATTGTATTTCTGCTTCACCATGACTATTCCATATATAATACTTTGGCATAAATCCAAATTTATAGATGTGTGTCTTCACCTCATCAATAGTTAGATATGGCCTACATTTACATTTGACACACGGACACCAAAGCTTCCTTGATGTTTGAGAATAAGGTGCCCTTAGAGCATAGGTAAGAAACTCCTTAACACCTCGTTGGAAATCTTGCGTATACCATTTAGTGCTCGGATCTACTATATTATACATCCATTTTTGATTTTGTGGGACTTCTATTGAGTAAATGAGTGTTCTAGCAATGTAAAATCAAAATGTAGCAACTTTTCAGCACCCCCAAATCTTTGTAATTTGAGTGCGTAAATTTTTTTGGGTAAAATTATGTGTTCTAGCAACAACTAACCCTATATTCATTCATGAAAGTACCCCTAACGGATTGAAAACCATATCAATGGGTCTTCCATTTTACATTAGCATTACTAAAGTTCTTGTCTATTTATAAATACATATAAAGAGGGAAAAGACAAGCATTAGCAGCAAAATTTTGATTTTGTATCTATTTTGAAGTCACATTATTGATGTTATAGTCTCATAATTAGATAGGGTCCCAATAACTCTCAAGTGTAAATATATGTTAATTATTACACAAGCTGAATAATAGTCTTAATGTTCAAGTTTCATTAACTTTGCTAGCTCATATATTAAAACTCATTCAGACCACTTTTATTTTTGTTATTAAGACATGCTTTTGTAACATTTTATGAATCCTAATAGACAATCTCTAGTATTATATATCATAAGAGCAAATGAATTAATTTAATTGCAATCTTTGATTGGAGGTTCAACGCTAACAGTTAATTCATTCCAAAAAAGACTTAGAAACATCATTTAGGAAAAATACAGTTTAATGGGTGATTTTAAAATGAAAACTTTGAATAGACACAAGAACCCATACACCTTGAGCTATGTTATGATAGTATTTGTCAGGTTGGTCACCAATATGTTGAAACTTTAGCATCTTAAAAGATCAAAGATCGCAAATATGTAATGGATGTCTATGTTCATTTCCTTGCAGGGAGAAAATAAAATTTTAAAAAAAAATCGTCTGCAAAAAGGAACAAAATATAGGAAATAAAATAAAATGCAAATCTTGATGGTAGGTGGTGGTTGTTTGAGTTCTTCATATATAGCAAAGTAAACAGATATAGAGGTAAAACAAATCAGTAGACCCTTACTCTTGGATAGTTAACTTAAATATTGCAACATGAACCACGTCTGTGGTATTTCTGGTAAATTTGATGTCAAACCCTTCTCTGTTCGTGACGAGGAATTAAGAAAGAGCTTCCAACTACAAGGAAAAAGTTCAGTTATTAGATTTTTTTTCACTTCCTTCACTGTTTATTTATGTATTGTTTGTTTGATACAATGTTAGCTTAATGATATCAGTTTAATGTTAAGATTGGTTACAGGTTGCTGATAGACTTACCAAGAGAAAAAAGCTCATTCCAGAATGTTCGCATAGTTCTCGGAGTTGTGGCACATGCTGCTGTACTATACAAAACAAGATAGGGATGGCTGTCAGATATTAACTGTTCAAATTTTGCTCATTTTCCTTTGCGGGCAGAAATTGTGTATAAGATCTTTGATCATTGGACTTTATTTTGTTGCCTTCATGACCATCCTTTTGGAGAATGGCACTAAGCCACTAATAATTTTGTAAGAAAAAAGCTTTTACAAGTTTTCCATAAGGAAAGGTTATTTCTAGCTTCTATACATAGCATATTATCCTATGTGCAAGATTAATTTACGTTTTATGCAAATACAAAAAGCACATTGGTAAATAAATCTTAAGCTTTTGCATTAAAGTGCAATCGCTTAGTAAAATGCTGTTCTAAAATAAAATTTTTGGAAAAAAATATGAAATTATAAGATTAAAAAAAATAGAGCTTGCGCCAATATATATATATATATATATAATGATATATGAAATTGGAAAAGAGATACAATTATATTGAGTCAAAATGTAATCCTAATTATTTTTGTTTTTCAATAACTATTTTTGTATAGTTCAAATGGCTAATTAACTTGTCACAATGCTATTATTTTTTTTGAGTGAAACAATGCTACTATATTAACTCGTTAATAAGATCTAACTCTAAGGATTAAAGTATAAGCCAATTTCAACATCATCATCTATAGATGAAGTGCTTTATGTTGTGTTGATGTTTTTGGGGATAATATAAATTACAATAAGTTAATGTTATTAATTACACTAATTGAAGCACGGGATAGTATTTTCTAGTTATATATCATAAGAGTAAATGAATTAATTTACTTGCAATCTTTGATTGAAGGTTCAAGGCTAACAGTTTAGAAGTAGACATAGATAAAGCAGAAATACATTTAAAGCACCAAAATTTATTTAAGCCAAACTGAAAATTTATATTGTTTTTAGAGATGAACATGCAACCGCTAGAGGATTACAATGGTTTAATGGAGGAAGTAAGAGAGCTTATAGGAAGAGAATGGCAACTCAGCTTCAAAGTAATATACAGAGAAGCTAATGCGTGTGCTGACAAGATGGCGCATCAAGCTTTCCTTTAATTCGAAAGGAAAAGAACTTGGGTAAGACCTCTAATAGAGTTGGAAGAACAATTGCACAAGGATCTACTGGGCATCGGGACTCCAAGACAAGTTCGTATAGTTTACCATAATCTTTTGGTTTTGTTAGAGTTCATAAATGGAGGTATGTGGATTAATTCACATAGTAAAGTAATTGAAATTCTTATCTTCTCTTACTTATTTACTTATCATTAGGTTACAAGGAAAAAAAGAAAATCATCACTAAGTTATAAGAAGAATTGATTTTAACACAAATATAAACAACTCTATTAATAATATTAATAATCAAGAGGACCTAATAAAAATAACTCAATTCTTATATCAAAATAAAAAAATTTCTTTCTTTTTTTGTAATTAAAAATAATTTTTACATAATATAAACATCTATTTAAAATTAGTGATAGAATTGTGACGGATTAGTAACGGAAATTTGTGGCTGATAAATCATATTCTTTCATATGTTTGGAATGTAGATTTTAGGCTATTTTAAGAAATAGATTGAGCATTAATTGCACTAATAAATAAATAAAATGCTAATGCACTTGAGCAAAAGAATTAAGCAATTGTGATGTTTTAATAGCTTTATGAAATTCCACAGTTGGATATTACTTCTGGGTTATTGTTCTGAATCCAGGGGTAGAGTTGTAAACATAAAGTGGCAGAAACACATTTCCAGTGAGAAAGGAAAAAAAAGAGTCCAGAGGAAAAGCAATTCCATCACTGATAGAAACTGATTTCTATCACCAATGGAAAAGAGTTTCCACGCAAACTTACACTTAGTTCCGAAAATTCCAATTACTGAGGGGACGGTTTAGAAATTCAGGGGGAGCGAAGCAATCAGTTACAGCAACAAGATTAATAACAGAAAAAGGAAGTGGAGAGAGGAG